TAATTTTCTTGGAAGAGACACATTAACCTCATCAGCTGGCCAACAGGAGAGAAAATTTGGCAGTGCTTTTGCTGAGCTGGCCAGGTTACTACTTGCGTTAGGTTATACTTCAGTGAGCAACCAGAAATGGCAGCACACAGGGACAGCACGTGCACGGTGATGCTAGGGGGACCATTTAGAAGCCTGCTCAGTTACAGAATTATTTTCTTTAGCAAGAGAGAAGAAAGGATTAAAAATTTCAAGAGCATTTTACTGTTGTCAGAGATGCGGAGGATAAAACTTCACTTCAAAATGCCTGCACCCAAGCCTGCTTGGTATTTCTGATGGTGGGAAATCAATGCTATGCCGTGGTAAATACCTGTTGTGCATTATGTTTTTAATGCAACCTTTCAAAATTTCATCAAGCCTTTTAACAAACAGTGAGTAATTCTAGATAACAAGCAAGTGACACAACATTTTTGCCATCCTTGTTATTGCTTTAGTAAAAAGAAAGCTGCTCTTGTGCTGAAGCTGTTGAATTTCGATGGCAAGGTCTCAGGCTCTCCGTCTGCATGGTGTTGCCTACACAATCAGTTCTGAGTTACTGTGTGTATATTGCTTTAATTTCTTTCCTTTTCACGTTTGCCTTTCATGCCTCTCCACCAAGTATGTGTGAGGGACAAATGAAGTGGAAGGCAGAGGTGAATGAGAGTGAGGAGGAGTAGGATGGAGGGTTGATACCAGTGGCACAAGGCTTCCACTCAGGTCTCTGTTGCGTGTAAAACTGCACACAACTAACCAAGGTGGGAGAGCCACACACATGCACTATCCAGGGCTGAGCTGTGGAGGATGTGGGCTCCTAAATGAGCATCTCTGGTGCAACCCAACAAGTGGGGAATGCAGTGTAGCTCCTGGAGCAAAGCTGCGCTCTGAGCAAATCTGCTTTGTACACGCTCTCATGCTACTTAGTTAGCCCTCCCCCCTTACAGTGCCTGGTATTTATGTTTCCAGATAATAATGATGTGATGTAGCTGGCAGAGTAATTTAAATAATTGGACATTATCTTGAGAAGCAAGCACCTAATTAGATCAAAATAAACTGAGAACTGAAATTTTCATCTGTTTCTAATAACTCTTTACCTATGTACAGTATCACTGCCATGGCAGAGATTCCATTATTCACACCACTATGTGTACTTAAGAGTTCACTAGAGATGGAGACTCCTGCAAGAGCAAAGAGCTTGGTGGTGTTTTTTGGCCAAGGCTTAGTGGCTCATTCCTCTCCTGGTACAGCAGAGTATTTTGCAGTCTTACTCTGTTACATTTGGCCCATGTATAACCAGTGAGGCTTGAAGTTTGTATCAGCAGTCTGCCTTTGAATGAATAGCTTCAGAGATAAAAGGCTCAAAGAAAGTCTGATCTTATAACTGTTTTTTCTTTCTCTAAGTTTGTCTATGAGTTCGTAATCTATTAATTCCTTTGTGCATATGCATTGAAAAATAACAGCTAGTGTGATCACTGAAGAAAAGTCATCTTAGGACGTATGAGGAAGAGGCAGCTCACACATTCTCCAGCATTAGGTATCGTAGGGACCATCTGAGTGCATGATGGTGTTGCCTCTCCAGCACACTGGCTTTAATCTGGTCCTGAGAAAAGGACTCCGCTGGATTTTAAAAGTTCAGTAAAAGAGTCTTGATCTGGCTTTGACACTTAGAACTGTAAGTCTCTGGTGTTGAGGGGGTCATTTAGAGTGGAAGTTACCAGGATCACAGCTAAGGGAAGAAAACGAGGGAAATATTTGCTCGCCGATGTACATTTGCTTTATTTTTAGGGATCGGTTCGGTGTCTTTCTCCTGATTAGTTGCTCTTCCTCAGATTTCCTCATACTCTTATTCAGTTGATTTATTTAAAGGTATGTCAGCGCTGGCTGAAATGAAACACTGTGCTTCCTCTTCCTGCGTATTGCTGACCGCTCCAATAATTCATTTTTTAGCTCATTAGCTAACAGGGGATGTGAACAGTGGTCCTCCAGGGAACTGCAATGAGGTTAAGTGATCTACTGCTGACAACTCTGCTCTTGGACTGGCCTTCCTTGGGGGAAATGAAACCTCAACCAAGACAAGCTATGGATCCCAGAAGTGAAATTGGGGCATCAGAGCAACAGTTACAATATTTATGCCTTGTTGTCAGGATTTCTGAGATGAATGCGACCGGTGGAGTTGAAGCTGTCTTCCAGGAAGGTCCCCAGGACTTGCCATTCAAAATGAAATGGTTTGTGCCAGAGGTGTAGGGAGGATGTCCATGGACATTGGCTTTCTAGATTCTCAGTGAAAAACAGTCCGTCTATGTTTTGGGTGTCCAGGAGGCATGGGCAAGCATGCTTTTCCTCCTGGCTCTGTGATAAAGTTTTGTTTTCTACCATAAAAATCCAAATGACCTATCTTTCTTGTGCCCAGTTTGTTCTGTTGAATAAGACCTAAATATCACCCGATAGCCAATGTCAGTGACGTGCTGCCCCCAAATGTCTGAGGCTTTTAAAACACCTTTATTTTTGTTTATAGCATTTGCTGTGTTCCCAGCACAACACTTACTGTGACTTCAAAGGTAGAATGTGGCCTTAATGAATTAAGTCTTTTGGTGCCCTACATGGTCAAGAGAAATTAGATGGGTTTTCTGAAA